CCCTGTCTTGACTCCTCATACCCTTCTAGTTACTCCCATATCGTTCTGTTCATCTTTACAGCAAAACTCCTTGAAAGGCTTGTCTGTATTCATTATCACCAATTCCTCTCACCCCATTTTCTATCGATCCTTCTTTTATCAGGCTTTGTCCCTACTATACCACCAAAACAGCTTTGTCAGAGTTACCAGGGACCTCTGGTTACTAACCCTCTGTATTGCTAAATCTTGTGGTCTGTCCCAGAATTCATCTTCTACAACTCACAGCAGCATGTAACTCAGCTGACCTTTCCTTGCCACTTGACACACTCTCTTCACTTGGCTTCTGGGCACCGCAATCTACTCCTGCTTATTGACTCAGTCTCTATCATGGTTTGACCTCATCTCACAGACCTGATGGTATTGGAGTACCCTGGGGCTCTATCCTTAGACCTCTTTTTTATTTTCACTCTGTGGGTGATTTCACCAAGTTTCATAGCTATGAATTACCCTCTGTACACTTACACAAACAGTCATTTGTGTAAATTATACAAATAGTCTTATTTATGCAAGGATAAAAAAATTAATTTAGTTTGAAACTGTTTTCTTGGCCAGAAACTTTTAAGTGATTCATAGAGAGCTTGCTTATATTTAAGATTACAGATGTAGCATCACATTTTGATAACTTTCTGATCATGGGATAAATAGAGGTTGTATACAAAACAGCATTAAAAAACAGGGAAGTTTTACAAAAGAGATCTCAGTGCGAATGTTTAAAAATTAAATTTCTTTTTCTGCTCTCAGCTTCTTAGGGTGTGACTTTGTAGCTTCCGATATTCACACCGTTGAGATAAGCTTCTAGCAATTAGAATGCAACCATGGCAAAGCCAAAATATCCCCCTTCTTGGGACTACATTACAGTTTCTACTGTGGGGTATATGTATGTGTTTGACACAAAAAGCAAATAGCACTGAAAACACTTCATTCATATCATAGGAAAAAAACAATTAATGGCACTGAACTCACCAACATGGGAAAGCCACATTAATGTTACAGCATTTATTGACCCTACAGTCTGAGATAGTTCATTAAGATGAATGTAAACCAAGTGGTTTGGGTTGTGTGTGCATGATTTAACCACTGATTTTTGTCATACATAAGTTTTTATGGGATGAAATTCTCACACTATTCAGTGAAGATCTCGTCTAGTTGAAAACATGACACAAATATGACCGAGACTTTATGACTGAAAGACAATACTAAAAAAACAAACAAACAAAAAAAAATCTCTGAACAACTTGAATGAAGAAATTAAAAGATGATATGAACTGGGGAAGAAATGGGGCTTTTGTAACCTGAGAATCCTACCAAATGCCTCTGTAGCCGCTTTTTTCTGCTTACTTAGGAAACAAAGAAGAAAGCATCATAAGAATTACATGGGGGAAATTAGGGTAAAGAAAATCTTGTGAAAAAGCGAAAGCTTATCTTTTTCATGATTAGTGCATTGTGTTTCAAGGCTGCCTGCTATATAAAGTTTGCACCTGGAAAACAAATAAAAAAAAAAAACTCAGTGGTTTTTTGAGAAGATAAATAAAATAGACCAATGATTAGGCAGACTACTAAAAGAAGAAGAGAGAAGACACAAATAACAAAAATTAGAGATGAAAAAGGAGACATAAGCAATACCACAGAAATACAAAGAATCATTAGAGACTATTATGAACAACTATATGCCAACAAATTTGAAAACCTGGGGGTAATGGATAAATTTTTGGACACATACAAACTACCAAGACTGAACCAAGAAGAAATAGAAAACCTGAACAGACAAATAACAAGCAAGAGATTGAAGCAGTAATCAGAAGTCTCCCAACAAAGAAAAGCCCAGGTCCAGATGGCTTTACTGCTCAATTCTACCAAACATTTAAAGAGGAATTAATACCAGTTCTTTTCAAGCTATTCCAAAAAATTGAAACAGAGGCCATTCTCCCAGACTCACTCTATGAGGCTAGCATCACCCTGATACCAAAGCCAGACAAAGATTCAACCAAAAAAGAAACTACAGGCCAATATCCCTTATGAACATAGATGCAACATCAGCACTATACTGATCCTCAACAAAATTGTAACAAACAGAATATAGCAACACATCAAAGAAATTATACACCATGATCAAATGGGATTCATCCCAGGGATGCAAGGATGATTCAACATATGCAAGTCAATAAATGTGATACATCACATCAACAAAATCAAGGACAAAGACCATATGATTATCTCAATAGATGCAGAAAAAGAATTTGACAAAATTCAACATCCCTTCGTGATAAAGACTCTCAACAAATTAGGTATAGAAGGAAAGTATCTCAACATAATAAAAAATGTATATGACAAACCCTCTGCCAATATCATCCTGAATGGGGAAAAGTTGAAATCTTTTCCCTTGAGAATGGGAACAAGACAAGGATGCCCACTCTTACCACTCCTATTTAACATAGTACTAGAAGTACTAGCCAGAGCAATCAGGCAATACAAAGAAATAAAGGGCATCCAAATTGGAAAAGATGAAGTGAAATTGTCCCTGTTTGCAGATGTCATGATCCTATATATAGAAGAGTCTAAAATCTCTACAAAAAAACTCTTAGAGTTGATAAATGACTTTAGTAAAGTTGCAGGATACAAAATCAACATGCAAAACTCTGTAATGTTTTTATACTCCAACAACAAACTAGCAGAAAAAGAAACCAAGGAAGCAAGCCCATTTACAACAATCACCAAAACAAACAAACAAAAAACCGAAGGAACCAACTTAACTGAGGAGTTGAAAGATCTCTACAATGAAAATTACAAATCACTGTTGAAAGAAATTAAAAAGGACACCAAAAGATGGAAAGACGTTCCTTCCTTCTAGATTGGAAGAATTAACATCGTGAAAATGTCCATACCGCCCAAAGCGATCTACAGATTCAGTGTAACCTCCATCAAAATACCAATGACATTCTTCACAGAAATAGAAAAAAAACCCCTAACATTCATAGGAAACAACAAAAAACCCCAAATAGCCAAAGCAATCTTGAGCAAAAAAAAAAAGCTGGAGGCATAACACTACCTGACTTCAAACTGTACTACAAAGTTATAGTTACCAAAAATCATAGTACTGGCATAAAAATAGACACTCAGACCAGTGGAACAGAATAGAGAACCCAGAAATCAACCCACATACTTACAGCCAACTGATCTTTGACAAAAGCAACAACAACATACATAGGAGAAAGGACTGCCTCTTCAATAAATGGTGCTGGGAAAACTGGACATCCAGGGCCGGCCCGGTGGCGCACTGCTACAGTGCGCCGCTTGGGAGCATGGCGGCGCTCCCGCCGAGGGTTCGGATCCCACATACAGACCAGTTCCCGCTCACTGGCTGAGCGAGGTGCGGGTGCAGCACTGAGGGTTGCGATCCCATTGCCGGTCCCGATCCGGTACGGGTGCGACACTGAGGGTTGCGATCCGTTGCCGGACACGAAAAAAGACAAAAAAGGAAAAAAAAAAAAAAACTGGACATCCAAATTAGGAGAACAAAACTAGACCTGTACCTCTTACCATACACCAAAATCAACTCAAAATGGATTAAAGACTTAAATATAAGACTTGAAACTATAAAGCTCCTAAAAGAAAATGCGGGAAACACTTCAGGATGTAGGACTGAGCAAAGACTTTAAGAATATGACCCCCAAAGCATAGGCAACAAAAAGAAAAGTAAACAAATGGGATTTTATCAAACTACAAAGCTTCTGCACAGCAAAAGAAACAATCAAGAGAGTGAAAAGGTAACCTACAGAGTGGGAGAAAATATTTGCAAACTACACATCTGACAAAGGTTTAATATCCAGAATATACAAGGAGCTCAAACAACTTAACAGTAAAAGAAAAAATAACCTGATTTAAAAATGGGCAAAGGAGCTAAATAGGCATCTCTCAAAGGAAGATATACAAATGGCCAACAGACATGTGAAAAAATGCTCAGCATCACTCAACATCAGGGAAATGCAAATCAGAAGCACATTAAGATACCATCTCACCCCAGTTAGACTGGCTATCATCAAAAGATGGAGAACAACAAATGCTGGCAAGGATGTGGAGAAAGTGAACCCTCCTACACTATTGGTGGAACTGTAAATTGGTGCAGCCATTATGGAAAATGGTATGGAGATTCCTTAAACAACTTCAGATGGAGCTGCCATATGATCCAGCAATTCCACTGCTGGGTATATACCCAAAGGAATGGAAAGCATCATGTCAAAGAGATACCTGTACCCCCATGTTTATTGCAGCTCTGTTTTCAATAGCCAAGAGTTGGAATCAACCTAATGTCCATCATCAGATGACTGGATAAGGAAAATGTGGTATATCTACACAATGGAATATTAATCAGCTGTAAAAAAGAATGAAATGTTGCCATTCACAGCAACATGGATGAACTTACAGAAAATCATGTTAAGTGAAATAAGCCAGGCACAGAAAGAGAAATACTGTATGTTCTCACTCATAAGTGGGAGCTAAAATTATTAGCATATAAATACAAGAAAGAAGGATACAACATTCACAATAATACACTGAACTTTCAAAAGGACAACTGAAAGGCTGGCCTATGGCTCACTCAGGAGAGTGCGGTGCTGATAACACCAAGGCCTTGGGTTCGGATCCCATATAGGGATGGCCGGTTAGCTCATCGGGTGAGCGTGGTGCTGACAACACCAAGTCAAGTGTTAAGATCCCCTTACCGGTCATCTTTAAAAAAAAAAAAAAAAGGACAACTGAGGTTACTAGAAGTGGAAAGTGAAGGGGGTGGGAGGAATGGGTAAAGGGCCACAAAACTTTCCTTGGCTTAGTTCAGATTTGAGAGAGGAAAAAGTATCATTTTGGCTACTATACTTTTATCTGCTCACTGTAGTAATTGGTTAGATGTGAAGGCCTCAGACATTGTTTTCACGACACAGTTTTCTAATTGGCCCCTTTCTCGACAGGTTCCAGAAGGAAAAGTAGTCGTTCTCAATTTCCGATTCATAGACCTCGAGAGTGACAACTTGTGCCGCTATGACTTTGTGGATGTGTACAATGGTCACGCCAACAGCCAGCGCATTGGGCGCTTCTGCGGCACGTTCCGGCCTGGAGCCCTTGTGTCCAGTGGCAACAAGATGATGGTGCAGATGATTTCCGATGCCAACACAGCTGGAAATGGCTTCATGGCCATGTTCTCCGCTGCTGAACCAAACGAAAGAGGTACCATTTCCACATAATGGCGTTAACAGCAGTAATAGTGGTTCACAGTTATTGAATACCTATGTGTGTCAGGTACTGTTCTGGGCACTTTATATATATTTATTCCTTTAATCTAAAGCTTTAGAGCAGTTCTTCTCAAACAGAGAGGTAATGAATTCCACCAAACTATCAAGAGATCATTAAAAAATCAGTCTTTTTTTGTTTAAGTTCATATGCATTCTTGTAAAAATTCAATTATAGAAGAAATTCATGGAGGAGAAATGTGGAGCTTGCATACATATACACACATACAAATATACAGACACAGCCCTTCCCTCCATGGTAGTCCCTTCTCCAGAAATAGCCATGGTCAGTGGTTCCCATACCTTTCTGTAGATGCTTACTTATATTTATATGCTTTTACAGTAGCTTTTTAAAAATATGAATGGGCTCATACATTCCTATTATTTTACAACTTTTTCTTTTCACTTAAGACTATGTCTTGGGATGTTTTCGTGTCAGTATATGTGAACTCCCAAGGTGCTGTGGTTTGAATGTGTCCCCCAAAGTCCATGTGCTGGAAACTTAATCCCCTGTGCAACAGTGGTGGGAGGTGGGACCTTTCATAGGTGATTAGGTCATGAGGGCTCTGCCATCATGAATGGATTTGATGTCATATCTCAGGAGTGGGTTGGTTGTTGCAAGAGTGGGTTTGTTATTAAAGCGGGTTCAGCCCTTGTTGCTGTCCTGCTCTCGCACTCTCTTGCCCTTCCACCTTCTGCCACGGGATGATGCGCAGGAGTGTCCTCACCAGATGCAGACCCCTTGAGTGGACTTCTCAGCCTCCAGAACTGTAAGAAATTAATTTCTTTTCTTTATAAATTGCCTTGTCAATGGTATTCTCTTATAGCAACACAGAATGGACTAAGACACAAGGGTGGAAAGCTCGATCCTTGAAAGATAACTGCATCAGGCAAAATTTGTACATTTTCAGCCTTTTGCCTGAGGGCACGTGCTGATCCGCTGTAGGCTTGTGCTGTAGTGCAACATCTGGCTTGAGAGGTCAGAGGACAGAATTTGGGGCTGACGAGCAGCCAGAAGGTTTGAGAGGAAATCCTGGCAGGGAGCTACAGAAGAATTGAGGCACAAAATATGCAGATAGAATCTACTCAAATCATCATGTGACAGCTAAACTCTACATATGTGGGGAGAGCCCAGCTGGCCTGGCAGAAAAGCATCAACTGAATAATGAAAGAACTGAACGAAGATTACAGCTGCTGCTCATTGTCAGGGAGAGACTTTGAGTTTGAGTCTAAGTTAAATGCCCGCTAGAACAAAAATAATTTTTCACACAACAGAATCTAGAGTATAATGTATCATTCATAATGTCCAGTATCTTAGTCATGTAATGAAACAGAAGTGCATCCATATTCAAGAAGAAAATCAGTCAATAAAGACTGACCTCACAATAACTCAAATGATGCAATTAGCAGGCAAGCACTTTAAAGCAGTAATTATAAACTTGTTTCAGGATTTCAAGGGAAATATAAGTATAATAAATAAACAGATTGAGAATCTCAGAAGAGAAACAGAAACTGTAAAAAAAAAAAAAGAATCAAGTGATAATTCTAGAGTTAAAAACTACAGAATATGAAATTTTAAAATTTATCTGATGGGCCTACAGGTAGATTGGAGATGGCAAAAAAAAGAGTCAGTGAATTTGAATAGAAATGATCCAATCTGAAGAACCAGGAGGAAGAAGAGTAAAGAATAAGAACCTCAGAGACCATATCAAGTGATCTAATGTATCTGCAATTTTTGTCCCAGAAAAAGAGAGTGCTAATAGTGCAGAAAAAATACTTGAAGAAATAATGATCTGACTGTAGCCAAACTTAGTGAAAAACATCAATTTATACAGCCAAAAAGGACAACAAACTCCAAGCAGGATAAATAAAAATTGACTCTACTTCCAGTCAAGGTGGCAGAATAGATGGTCCCCAGTGTCACTGTCTCCCACAAATCAACCAATTTACAACTATTAACAAGCAACAACAGCCAAGTGGAGCCACTAGAGCTCAGGGAAGAGGAGGAGAGACCTACGGAGTGCATGAAGGTGGGAGAAGCCACGATGAGAGAAAGAAAGAACCATTCTGACCGTTTCGAACCCTGACTGCTTCCAGGCTGGAGCTGCTGAGCGCACAGAGCAGGAGCTGGCAAAAGCCACAGCTGCACCCATCAGATGAAGTTGCTTGGAGGTGGCAGGGGAGAAGAGGGCCTTGGTGGCCCCCAGGCCAGCAAAACCACTAATTGGGTTCCTGTGAACCCACATAGGAGCAAGGAGCCACTCAGAGACCAGTGAGTCATCACAAGGGACCAGAGGATGGCCCGTCCCATGGGAAGTGTTGCAGCACAGGCAGTGGGGGAGATGGGCCCACTGAGGAAATACTGGGACACAGCAAAGACAGCTGATCTGCCCCCCAATCAGCGTATGATCATTCAGAGGAGACTAGTCAGGAATACAGAACTGCATGGGGTGCAGTTTGATGAAAAGACTCAGACCCAGATTAGAGTTACTACACAACCCAGGTGCACCGGGCCTCTGAAAAGCTGGAAGTACCTATAAAATCAACCATTAAAACCTGAGCTGCACAAAAAACCTTCCCCAGGGAATCAGCAGCAAAGCAGCAATTTAACTAAACCACAGAGCTGAAGTGCTGGTCCCCACAGGAAGTTCCCCCACTTTAGAAGTAAGAAAAGGACAAAAAATTAGTTCCAGCACAGAGTTTAAGTGGTGGGAACAGCAAATAATCCAACACAGAACTGAAAGAAAAAACAGAGTACCCACAACCAGAGACAAAGTTTGATATTAGCTAGTAAAGGTCTCATTTCATCAAAGAACACCTATAACACCTAGAAGGACTGTAAGTCCCCTGGGCTACCAAGCCAGAAAGGGGGGGGGGGCAACCAGGCACACTGTCAGTGCCATGGGGTGTGCCCAGGGTCCTGAAGTCTGCAGCTGGGGACCAGACCTTCCTCCCACAACCAGGCACACTGCCAGCACCATGGGGGCTTCCTGGGGTCCTGAGGTATGGAACTGGGGATTGGGCCCTCCTCCCACAACCAGGCACACTGCCAGCATCACCACCAACTAGGTAAGGAGCATGCCAAAAACATCACCTCCATGTGGGTGGCCCACCACAGCCACCACAGTAACCAGGGCTGCCGTGAAAGTGGCTACATGCCACAACCACTGTACAGATGATCCACCAGCCACTGGAGTGCATTGACACAAGGAGAGTCACCAGCAGAAACCAAAGAAAAGAAGAGGATGTCTCTCTCCACAAAGCCCATTCCAGAGTGACAGAAGAAGCATCTGCTATGCAATAATATTGGGGGACCTGATCATACCTCTCAGCATTGGACAGATCATCTAGACAAGAAGTCAACAGAGTAACCATTATTCTTTCAGAAGGAGAGAAGAAATCTAGGGTAATTAGAGAGGGGAGGAGGGAGTGAGAGGGGGATGGGGAAAGATTGGACAAGGGGTATAAAGAATAAGTACAATTTGTAACAATATATATGCTAGTAATATTGATTTGATCAACATATGTCAATGTTGAATCCCCAAAATATGGATAATCAAGTATGATTCAATAAAAAGTTTTAAATAAAGGATAAGTAAAAATGAAGCCAGATTGCGGTACATCATAATTACAGAAATCTAAAGATAAAGAGAAAATCTTGAAATCAATCAGATAAAAGCAAATTGCATACAGAAGAACAACGGTATGTATGACAACTTTCTTTTAATCAGAAATGATGGAGGTCAGAAGGTGATGTCACAGCATTTGTTTTCAAAAGTGAAATAAAGATATTTGCAGATTAACACTACAAATATCTGAAAGACATTTTTAAACTTGCACCACAAGAAATATTGAAGGACGTTCCTCAGGTTGAGGCAAAGGACCCCACGAGGTAACATGAAGGGAACAGGAGGAACGAAGGTCATTGGAAATGGTAATATAAGGACTATGTCTTATTTTTGTATCTTATTTTCTTTTATCTCTTAATTTCTTTACATGTAATTGTTCAAAACAACAAAAAAATTAACACTATTGTAGAATATATAATGTGAGATGTAATGTTTGGCAACCAAAGGATGGACAGGTAAGTGGAACAGCGCTGTTGTGCATGCACACACATGTACAGTACATGAAGAACTCTACTTAGAGTTGCAATGTTAACTTTAAGCAGATTATGATAAATTAACAGCAACCAAAGGATGGACAGGTAAGTGGAACAGCGCTGTTGTGCATGCACACACATGTATAGTACATGAAGAACTCTACTTAGAGTTGCAATGTTAACTTTAAGCAGATTATGATAAATTAAAAATGCAGATTGTAATCCCTAGAGTACCCATTAAAAATGCAAGTTACAGCTAAAAGCCAAAAGATTAAATAGAATAACAAAATTATCCAACTATACAAAGAAAACTGGAAGGAGAAACAGATGGAGTGAAAGGAAGGTAAGACAAATAGAAAAGATAGTAAATGGAACACTAAATCCAAGCATATCAATACATACACTAAACGTAAAGAATTAAATGCTCCAGTTAGGAGGCAGTTATTGCTAGAATGGATTAAAAAGCAAGGCCTAACTGTATGTTGTCTACAAGAACGCACTTGAAATACAAAAAACAAATAGTTCGAAAGTAAAAGGATGGAGCAATATGTACCATGCACCCTTCATTAAAAGTAAAACTGATACAAAGAAATGAAAATGTTTAGGTGATAGAAATGTTAACTATTCTGATTAGATCATTATACAATGTATGCATCATTGAAACAACAAACTGTACCCATAAACATGTACAATGAAAAAAATTAATTAAAAATTTTAAAAAGTAAAACTAATGCTTATAAAAAGACATCTTTACAAGTATGAACAGGCATCCTTCAGAAGGGAAAAAATACAAAATTATATGGTAAAAGACTTGTAAAGTATGAAAAGAACTCATATCATTCAATAGTAAAAAGATAACGGTCCCAATAAATATAAATATGGGCAAAACAATTGAACAGACGCTTCACAAAGGAAGACATGTGTGGCCAATAAGTACATGAAAAATTGCTCAGTGTCATTAGTCATCAGGGTAATGCCAATCAAAACCACAATGAGATACCATTACTTACCCACTGTTGGCTAAAAAAAGTGACAGGACCAAATGGTGGTTAAGGATGTGAAGCAACGAAAGTGCTCATATTTCAAGAGATATAAAATGATACAACCACTTAGGGAAAAGTTTTAGTACTTTTTTTTATGAAGTTAAGCATCTACATCTACTCTTGACCCAGCAGTTGCACTCCTGGGTATTTATGCAAGAAAAATGAAAATAAAGGTTTGTATAAAAATGTTCACAGCAGCTTCGTTCACAACAGGCCAAACTGGAAACAACCCAAATGAACATTAACAGGGCAATGGGTAAACAAACTGTGGTGTCTCCATACAATGGAGTACTACTCAGCAATAGATAGGAACAAACTACCAACACACACAGCAAAGTGAATGAATCTCTTAGACATGGTGCTAAGCAAGAGAAGACAGACACGGGTGAGTGCCCATTGTGTGATTCCACTTACATGGCACTCTAGAACAAAACTGATGGAAGGTGAAACTTTTCAGAAAAATGGTGTAGGGAATTAGCAAGTTGGGAAGGAATACAGAAATTTTGTGGGAGATGGATTCTATATCATCTCAGGAGTGTGGCTTACCCGGGTATATGTATTTTTCAAATTTGTACAGCTAAGATTTGTGCATTTCAAATTTACCTCCTCAAAACTTGTAAAATAGTAACAACAATGAAGCAGGTGGTAGGATCGGGTAGTGGTACAGCTAGAACAGGAGGAGGATGATTGTTGAAACCGTGTTATGTGGGAGGTCACTGTATTATTCTATTTACTTTGTACATGCTTGAGATTTTCCATTAATAAAGTTTTAGAAATTATTCCAACCTCAATTTTTGTAATACATTTTCTTAAATTTACAGATTTGTTTTAAGAGTGTTTATTTTCTGGGTCAAAGAAATATTCGATTAAAGTATATTAATTCCTTTAGTTTCAGCTCAGTTTTTGTTTGTTAGTTAATTCAAGTGAAGTTAAATTTAGAATTTTGTATCAAAATAACTTTTTTAAGTGATTTCTGTCAGCCTATCAGTACGTACACATTACATATCACCATATGTCAGTTACATATATCAGGTGTCCAAAATGATGTTTGTCAAATATTAATAGTGGTGAGTTTTAGGTAGTGGGATTTGGGGTAATTTTTTACTTTCTCCTTTATGCTTTTCTGTATTGCTGAAAATTTATAAACATGTATTATTTTTACAAACAAAATTATCTTTAAAATTATTAAAGATATATATACAGAATATAAAGTTTTCTAGTAATGAGAATTGTCTATACTAACTAATTCAAATTTGGTCCATGGGCATTTATAAATACCAATGCCTTGAGGATTCTTTTTTTCTTAAGCATATTCATTATTACAAATCATGATTTTTTTTCTCTTAAAGTCTGTATGATTTGTTGAGCCTACAAGTTTTCTGAATGAGCATATGCCCAAATGTTTGGTCTTCACTTATCCAAAAATGAAAAAAAGAAAAAAGCTGTGACCCTAACTTTAGTCCTTTCTTCTCATGTGCTGATATAGTATGGCAGGTCAAAGAGGTCATTCATGTTGTGTGTGCGTGTGTACATGTGTGCGTGTAGCCGATTATCAATGTAACCATTTTTTAAGTGAAAATTTAAGAGCTTCTGCCATTGCCTTTATTTACTATACTGTCACCTATGCTCCACATTTCTAATCTGTATGTGGTTGTATTGCTGTAACCTATATCAGGATATAACTTTTGGGTTTTTTTCCATGTTTGATAACTTCAGGGGATCAGTATTGTGGAGGACGCCTTGAAAGACCTTCTGGGTCTTTTAAAACCCCCAACTGGCCAGACCGNTTCTGCCATTGCCTTTATTTACTATACTGTCACCTATGCTCCACATTTCTAATCTGTATGTGGTTGTATTGCTGTAACCTATATCAGGATATAACTTTTGGGTTTTTTTCCATGTTTGATAACTTCAGGGGATCAGTATTGTGGAGGACGCCTTGAAAGACCTTCTGGGTCTTTTAAAACCCCCAACTGGCCAGACCGGGATTACCCTGCAGGAGTCACTTGTGTGTGGCACATTATAGCCCCAAAGAATCAGGTGAGGTTCCCTAAAAATGTGAAGAAAGTGTGCGTGTGTGAATCGACCAGACAGTGTGAGGGGCCCCCCCTCTCACGAGCCTCGGGTTGTGGGACTTTGTCAAAAGCTAAGGACACAGGGAGGGGAGGCCTGCTAGATACAGATATTTCTTCATAGAAAAACCCAGATTAAATTTTCCCTTTGCACCATTTGACTTGCAGAGACGTGGATTTAACTTCCTATTATATAATTACAGTTTTCAAAAGTTTTTAAAATACAAATTGTAAGCAAATCCCATATAAGATTGTTTAACCTGGTGGCAGATGTTATTTATAAACGGCAATGACCAACTGTGGAAGGATAAAAGTCCCCAAGTATATGTACTTTGGGTTACCATTTGCTCACACAGCAAACCCATCATGTCCTGATAATAGTCATCCTAGTGTCAAATCAAAAAGTCTGCATGCTTTCCTGCTGCAAAGCCAGTGCAAGCAAGCCGCATCATCTCTTCAGAGAACAAGGTATCTGATGTGCAAGCTGCTCTGCTTCAGGGTGTTTTGAGTTGTTTAAAATAAAATTTCTGTAGGTTTTCCACAAAAAGCTTTATTCATTGCTCTAAAACAACCAACAGAGAAGGTCTAGTTTTTTAGTATTTATTAGTTTGTGGTTATATGAATTTTTACCCTTCTGGGAACCACTTTCGGATATTAATTGCAGGGTAGAACTTGACATAGAAATAGATGAAACCTACTTCGTGGACTTTTAAAAATAACTTTGTAAAAATTATTATTATAATTACCAACACAATAGACTTTAATCCAAATACTGTGAGGTGAGCATTATGATGTCATTTTTAAAAAGCTTTTCTAAATTGATCTTTCATATAGCTTGCACAAACACTATTTGTCATATATTTATTTTTTAAATTGAAAATTATTTAGGCCAAGTCAATATACCATGGCAATTAGTGATCTGAACATATTTACACATACACACGTGTACACATGTACACTTTAATCATAATCTCAAAACTATTTTATTCTTAAGGAGAAAAATATGGTTACTTATTTAATAATGAAAGAGTGTATAAAACAATTGAACGTTTTATAGTTTAAGATAACATCATAAAAAATTACATTTCTGAAGCATTTAAATCATTATGTAATTCTTGGAATTATATTGGTCTTTTTTTTTCTCTGTGACATTTGTAAATATATTCAACCAAATAATTTCAACTTAATTGTACTTGTAGATTACAATTCAGCATCTCTTTTCCATTGTTTTTCCCTTTGATTATTTACATTTTAAGTTTGAGTTTTATTTTATTAATGTGATTTTTGGCTTCAGCCAATTGAGTTTTTAATCATGATTGTAGTGTTTGAAATCACTGACAGCTCTGTCCAAAGGAGAAAAATATAATGGGAAAATTAAGTCCTAAATAATTTCTGTGCACGTTTATGGGAATTTTTTTCTATTAAAGAATTGCCTCTGGGCGGAGCCCGTGGCGCACTCAGGAGAGTGCCGCACTGGGAGCGCTACTGCCGCAGGTTCGGATCCTATATAGGGATGGCCACCGGTGCGCTCACTGGCTGAGCGTGGTGCGGCCAGTCTCAAAAAGGACAAAAAAAAAAAAAAGAATTGCCTCCACTTTTTATAATAGCTTTCTCCCTAATCCTCTTATTTACTTATTTTTAATCTTCTCTCCAAAAGTTTTTACATGATTTATTTCTAAGAAGAGAAAGTTCAGCTGATTTTTTAATAACCTGGAAAGCATTTTATTAGTAACTAGTGAGAAGTCACTGGACCCAAAGAGTAAGTAATTCAGTACAATTTAAAGCAGTGTTAAGTAGGAATAGGCCATTATTCACCTGTCACTGGCACTGACTTTTTTGAAGGTAGGTAAGTATGTAGATGTGTGGCAATTATGTTCAAAGCCCAAATTTACCTTTGTGTCCATCTGTGATGCTATTGCTATCAGCATCTTCACCCAGATCACCAGGTATGAGTATTTAGCTAATAAGAATTAATGCACATTTTCTTCCCTGAAGCAGTAGGGAGGATTCTTGCCCACCTGCTACCCAGCAAGAATAGGTACAGCTGTCTGGTGCCATGGGTATTCATGAGCCTGGTGAGATTTCCTTTGATTCACACATTGGAGGAGCTCTTTAAAAATCTGCTTGTAAGAAGAATGATTGATTGCCTATTAAATCAAAATTTCCTGTTCACTTGAATAATTTAGAACACTATTATTGGTACTAGGGCAAAATTTTTTTTAAATTAAGAAATACTTAAGAATTCTAACACTGACTTTGTTTATCAATGCTTCTATGCACCCTCTTCAAAAATCAACCACATTCCGAGTAGGCTGTTCTCAGTGTGCACACATTCCAAAGAAACTTCAAGAAGACATCACCGTCAATTCCCACTTTCCTGAATCTCTGGTTCTAAAAATTTGACTCCTTTACATGTAATAGGAATGTCGGTCTCCTTCTCTCAGAAGGAAACAACTTCATCCACTCCTCTCTCCCACACACACCACACCCCAACATACACTAATACAGGGGGCACTTTAAATAATACCCTTTATTTTTATTAGTTTTCCTTGAGAGAAGGATGAAGTTGGCATATAGCCCTTTCACACTCCAACACAATTCATTATCCAACTACAGGGTTTTTTCCTCTCTTTTTTTTCTTCCTTTTCCCCAGCTTTATTGAGGTACTTGACAAATAAAAATTGCATATATTTACAGTGTTCAGTGTGATGTTTTGATGTATATATATATATATATATATATACATATATATATATATATATATATATACATATATATATATATATATATATATACACACACACATACATACATTGTGAAATGATTACCACAGTCAAGCTAATTCATCTGTTAATCACCTTGCATAGTTATCCTTTTGGCGTGTGCATGTGATGAGAACATTTAAGATCCACTCTCTTAGCAATTTTCAAGTATACCATACATTATTATTGATTACCATCACCGTGCTGTATAGTAGATCTCCAGAACCAATTTATAGCCTTAATGTAGACTGCTAGACCTATATAGTGTTCCCATACTTTTGTAGCAGTACGTGAACAGAGCTTCTAAGTTTAGGATCCTAACTAGGGTTGATCTGGGTTTGAGATGATCTTTTGAAATGATTAAAAATAGAAGCAAAAGAATATCACAATATTGTTAACTAAATACGAAATATGCAACAAGAAATGAATACATATTTTACAAAGGAAAATCACATATCCTACAAATCTGGGGAGAATAATAATTCCATTTGAGGTTATTCAACAATACTATTTTTAACATTTCTAATGTGCTTTCTCTATAGCTTATAGAATTAAAGTTTGAGAAGTTTGATGTTGAGCGAGATAAC